CAAGAAAGCTTAAGTATAGATTGACTATATTTAGGCATTCTTCAGTCTTATTAAAATTCTTTGCTGTAAAACTCTAAAGTAGACTCTACCACATTTAGAGTTTACAAACTATCTTAATTGTTGCAATATAGAACTGTCCAAGGGACGTTCACTTCTTTATAGTCTACAATACATTACTATGAAATTATCATGTGAGCCATTGCAGTGGTCCCAGAAGATCTGCCAAATACTAAGGAGATCAGTCCTGGGTGTTCATTGGAAGGACTGATGCTGAAGCTGAAACTCCAATACTTTGGCCAGCTCATGCGAAGAGTTGACTCATTGGAAAAGACCTTGATGCTGGGAGGGATTGGGGGCAGGAGGAGAAGGGGATGACAGAGGATGAGATGGCTGGATGGCATCACCGACTCGATGGGCATGAGTTTGAGTAAACTCCAGGAGTTGGTGATGGACAGGGAGGCCTGGCGTGCTGCAATTCACGGGGTTGCAAAGAGTCGGACACGACTGAGCAACTGAACAGAACTGACTGACTTGTTTGTCATCCTCATGGTCTGAGATAATAAAATTGAAGTTCAACATAATGACTTAGAATTATAATGTCTACAATGGCCAAAGTGGATCTCAGAATTCCTTCATTGGAACTCTTCCCATGAAACATACAGCTTGCCAAAGGAACTTAAAATACATGGAGGATTCAAAAAATAGCTTTATGTTTAACAAATACTGACTCTTGAATCTTCATTCTTAGTAAACTCTTTTTTGATTGGTTGTTAGGTATATGCTTAAAGGTATAACTTTATAAATGTGTAAAAATTGCTTCAAGATGTTGAATAAAAACATAGATTAAATAGTATTATTTTAACCAAGGATATTTTTAGGATAAGTTAATTCTAGAAACATCAATGGTAGAAAGAGGGTAGAATCCAGCTTTATAACCCTTATAAGAAGAAATTCTATATGTTAGATCATTATTCTTTTGGATGGAGTGATGGATCCCTTTTGGAAATTTGAAAATCATTTAATAAACCCTCAAAAATATACATATATGTGCATTATTTTGCATATGATTTTCAGATATGTATGTGTGTCTTTGAAAATAGTTGTTGATTTGTTGTTGGTGGTAATTATTAGTGAAGATGATACTGTTGTCATCATAGAATTAAAATCTTGATTTGTGGAGGATTTTCTGTTATTCAGAGTCTAAGTGGAAGAGCATTAAAGTAGTAGGAAGTTTGGGCCCAAGAAGTAACTTACTAGTTAATCATATTTTAGGTGGCAGAGATCAGGCAGTAACATTTACTCACAGTCAATCCATTCTTTCTCTAGTATTTAGAAATGCAACTGTAATGTTTTGATTTAGAACACAATGTACAAAAGCAAATTTGTGTTAGGTTTTAATGTAGTCCTTAATTCAGTTTGAGAATTACTTCTAACTAGGCTCTACTTCACAAAAGCAGGCAAAAGATTAATCCACAATCTGTCATTGACTTAAGGTCTTTAGCTTCATCTATTGTATCAGTATCTCCACAACCTTTATAATCCTTTGAGTGTATTTTATTGCTGTTGCCCTCAAAACCAATTACTACTTATTATAGACACAGTGCCCGCATTCTGGAAATCTTCTGTACTGTGGTGTCTGCATAGTGATGTGATGGGGAGTCATGGAAAACTCTCTTTGTTATTAAGATTATGGCCAGGAAGATTACTCCAGTAGGGTAACATGGTGTGTGTGAAGAGATTTTTTTTTTTAAAGTGGGAGTGATAGAGAAGAAAACCTGATAAGATAATATATGGGAGCACATAAAGTAAGTGCTATTTTAGAAAAGTCAAGTGTCAGAGGGCAGTGTTTAAGCGAGGCACCGCAAAGCATTAGTGTCACATACCCCACCTTCCCTAAGTGGACGAAAGAAGTCATCTCCACTCTACTTCACCCTTGGAGCCCACTGGACTACTCCCAGGGATCTTTGGCATTTCTACCTTAGGATTAGTTTTTTTCCTTAGGTTATTGATAAGCCCATACAGCAAATATAAATTTCAGAATGATTGCTTAATCCTCTACTGGCTTCAGATGAATAGAGAAATTCCCATTATGAATGTTAGTAATATTGATTAGATAACAGATGAATCCATTTGGGACCACTGAGTGACATATATAAGGAAAATCACATATAACATCCCTGTGAAACTTCTGGCAAAATTGACCTCCTGAATTATTACCCAATTGCAAAATGAGTCCCTGCTCCATTATTGACCAAATGGCATGTTTTATTTGGCTTGCATGATTTTCAAAAAATGCCAATTAGTTAACATAAGCTTAAAACGTAACATAAACTTGGAAATACTATGTAAAAATTCAGATTCTTGTTTTCTAGAAATAGCAGTAGCTGAAATCTGGCAGCACATGCAAGCCTTCCCCCAAAGCAGCACACACAAGGCTAAAACTGTATATGCTTTCCTTTGCCTGGGCTGTCATCCTCCAGTTCTCCACAGTCAGCATCAGGCCTCTTTACTCATTGACATTCCCTGCCTTAACCCTGCAAACCCTTGAGTTAGCAGCCTTGTTCCAGAGCTCCATCACAGTCACTTATAGAACCCCCCCCCAAAAAAAAAATATATATATATATAAGCTCAGCCCACCTTCTGGAGTAGTATTCGATTATGAGAACACAAAAAGAGTGAAGCCCTGAACTTGAACCACTGCACTCTACAAGTGGTAGATAAAACATTTCAAGTGGCAGTTCTTTGGGTACAACTGACTTAAATGGTATTAGATAGATTACTTTTATTATATGGGGGTAGAGGAGGGCTATGAATCATTGTTTTATCCTGAGATGTTGACATAGATTCAGATTTTACTTGTACTTGGTCAGACTTTAAGGCATCTCTTACTTTTGTGTACCTAGTTATCAATAAGCCACATTGAGCATTTGAATAATGGAATGGAGATCAGCTAACATTTTGAGAAACAAAATGACATAGCTTTTCCTTATAAATTAGTGATGTTTCCACTGAAGATTATCACCAGAGATATCAGGACAAAGATTTGTCACCTGTGACTGCTTTGACTCTGAAAATGGTAGTGTTAATTGGTCTAGTTCTGAGAAATACATTAGCTAGCTAATGTTGAATATTTTATTAATAGAGTGAACATAAAACCTGTCGGGCTATTAGCCTAGCAAGTATTTGACCAAACATCATGGAGTTATTTAAATTACATAGATACTCAGCAAAACTCTTGAAGTATCTGCAGTGAAAACAGTTTTCCACTATGAACAATATCAGATATGGTCTAAGGTAATATGGAATGTTATTGCTCATATTAAGAGGTTGAAGCCATACTACTGGATTCATTTTGACCTGTTCCTCTGGTCTGGCTCCTCTTGATATTTTATAGTGGGGAAACCAGGATGCTAGATTCAAAGATTTTAAATGCTTTCAAAGCCCAATAAAATGGATACTTATATATGATATTAATATTACCTTGATACTGTAAATATTGCTCAATTATTTATCATCACTGTCTGATTTTGAATTTTATTTTTCATCAGACACAAAACAGAGCAATTCAGAGTAGGTGGATTTCTCCTGTCAGATGCTCTAATATAACTTCAGTTGTGCCAGATTCTGCCCTCAGCAATGCAAGCAAACTTCAAACAGAAATGTACATAAATAGTTAAAGGAAAATGCTGGATCCCACCTGTTGCCTCTTCTGTGAAGTAATATGTCTATAATGTTTATAAATTTTAATAACCCATACGGGGCTTTATCTTTCAACATTAAATTTATATTATTTTAAAGTTTGACTTTTCTGGGTGATATATTTTATTCTCTAATATCTTAGAGAATCTATCTGTCTATGAATGTATTCTTCTTAATAAAGAATTAAAGTATTCTTTTATCAACCAATTACCAGTGCATTTATAAAGTTCCATTGAAATCATCATTTTCAATGAGAGGTTTTCTTTATCTGACTGAAGATTATGATTCTTATTGAGGGCTGGAAGCACATCAGCATTTCATTTGTTAATTCTGTGAACTGTGGTTTTGTTTAGCCTTTGTTCCTCAAGATGGTAATGGAAATAATTTTTTAAAATGTGTCCTTTTGAGGATTTAGTTTTCCCTGTGTCTCAGATGGTAAAGAATCTGCCTGCAATGAGGGAGACCCAGTTCAATTCCTGGTTTGGGAAGATCCCCTGGAGAAGGGAATGGCAACCCACTCTAGTATTCTTGCCTGGAGAATCCCATGGACAGAGGAGCCTGGCAGGACTACAGTCTATGGGGTCACAAAGAGTTGGACACGACTGAGCAGCTACACTTTTGATGGTTTAAGATCCCATAGTGATAATAGTTGAATAAACAAAGCCATTAGCTTAAAAATAGATCTATAAATGGGCTTCCCAGGTGGCTCAGTGGTAGAGAATCTGCCTGCCAATTCAGGAGACATAGGAGATGTGGTTCTATCCTTGGATAAGGAAGATCCTCTGGAGGAGGAAATGACAACCCACTCCAGTATTCTTGCCTGGAGAATCCCATGGATAGAGAAGCCTAGTAGGACACAGTCTGTAGGGTCACAAAGAATCGGACGCAACTGAGCATACACTCACACATGCATTATAATTATCATAATTATAATTATAATCACAGTCTTTTAAATTGCTCATAGCTGATAATAGCCAGCATCACCTGTAAATCTTATGTCTCAAAAACAATGACTATATCTCAGTGCATGGGTAATTGGAGTGAAAAACTTAGCAAGTAGATTATTTTTACTCATTGTACTTGAGTTTATGGCATATAAGCCCCGAGTTGGAATTTATGGTTTTAGTGGTCTTTGTCTGGAACTCCTTTTACTGTGGCCCTGGAATTTTGAAGAAAATTTTGGTAGACTTTTGCTGGCTGTGGGGAGGCGGGGCACAGATGAAGTAAAAAGAAAAGTAGTGTTCGTCTGATTGACAGAAATACACGTTCTAAACAGCACTTTTTCACTTCTTTGATTCCAGTTTACAAGCATTGAGAAAGGAGAAGTCCCGGGATGCTGCCCGTTCCCGCCGGGGAAAAGAAAACTTTGAGTTCTATGAATTGGCCAAGTTGTTGCCTCTTCCTGCAGCCATCACTAGCCAGCTTGACAAGGCTTCCATCATTCGACTTACAATCAGCTACCTAAAAATGAGGGACTTTGCTAACCAGGGGGACCCTCCATGGAACTTGCGAATGGAAGGCCCTCCACCTAACACGTCAGTAAAAGGTAAGGTTTCAGCCCCCCGTTGATCCTGGAATGCGGTCTATTAGTGTCTCTGAGATGAAACGTTTACCATCATCCTCTCTTCTTTTCCTGCATATCAAATCCTTTAAAGGGATACAAATGTGGAAATCTGAACTCTGCATGAGAAAGACACCATGTGAAGGTGAAATAAAACTCTTCTATTTCTATTTTATTTTCAAAAAGTCTGTTAGCTTGAATATTCTATCACTTTAAATAAGGTTTCAGGGAAATGAGATTGAAATGACTTACATCAAAATGTTTCTTGGGTTTAACTTATGTTATGCTAATACATGCAAATTATTATTAAGTAGGGGGTGGGTAAGAGAATATTTGGTAAAGGTTAGGACTAACATTTTCTGATTTTAGTTACCAAAGAGAGGCAGGGAGCAGAGTACAGTTGTAGCAGGCATTTTGAATAATGATTTTATTGACTAACAAAGTGATCAATCTATGTATTGTTTCAACTCTTGATACATAGTTCCTACAATTTATAAATATAAATATGTATTTATGCTCCCAATCCTGGATGTACTTACCCTTAAAATTTATTAAAACTTTAGGTTTTTTTTTTACCCTGATACTTAAGAGGGTTATTTTCTTGCATGCTCTTGAAACATCTAATAATTAATGAGATTTTAAGCATATGAATATGCATGCATGTGTTTATTGATGTACATGTGATGTTGGCCACTGATTTTCTTTCTTTAACAATGTATCACTCAAGGCATGGAATGGGATCTGTTGGTTTTTCTGCTTTAGTTTTGTATCTAGGCCCTTGATCGGCATGGAATAACTGGACATGGGATGGAATTGCAGGCAGCCTCCTCTGAGGGAGAAATTCGATTCTTAGCTATGTGATTACACCTTGATGACTACCTGTGAAGTCCCTGCATTCTTGCTGTTGTAGGGAAGGATACGGGAGGAAGCTATAACTTCTCATAGGATTCAAATAAAATGAAAGTGCAACAGCAGTGACTTGAGAATTCTGTGCTAAGAGGTGTAATAATATGTATGTAGATACCTGTGAGACTCTGTTTACATCTTTGCTATTGTTACTTAGGGATTGTGTTTCTTATGCTTATTAGAGAAAGAAAATTTGAATACAAATTGTAACAAGTTATTTTTCTGTGGGGCAGAGGTTGGCATACATCTTCTGTAAAGGCCGTATATAGTAAATATTTTAGTTTTGGGGGAGTACTCAACTCTGCCATTGTAGAATGAAATCAATCATAGACAACGCATAAACAACAAAGAATGGCTGTGTTCTAATAAAACCATACTTGCAAAGCAGGCAGCTGCCACCAAATTTGGCCCACAAGCCATAGTTCACAGACTCCTGCTCTAAGTATAAGAATGACATTTGAAGGTTGAGAAGAACATACAATAGAGATAGCTCTCAAGGGCAGGGTGTCAATATGAGGAAGCACATGACAAATAGACCAAGGCACATTCACGCTTTCCTTACACAGCCCTTCTACCCTTAAGAATGTTGATGTCAACTTGGTAATATACCAGTCCATGTTCCATATACTAAAACAGGGCAATTTTCCAAAGCCAAAGATGTGAGTATAATCCTAGTAAATACTTAAGAGTTTATTTAGTAGGTTGTCTTTGTGTTTATTCCAAATCATGTAAGATGAATGTATACATGTAGCAGGTTAGAAATCACAAAAAAATATAAAATATATTCTTAATCCTTTTATTCAATTCAAAATACATTGACTGAGGAACTTATATTAACTTGTTTAATATAATTATCTTTTACTTCCATCTTTTCTTTAAGAGAGTTGGTAGCTTATAGGCTTACTTGGTAGTAGTTACTGCCAAAGTAGAAAAATCTAGTGGTTCCATGGTCTGTCTACTCTTCTTCTTCTTGTTTAGTCGCTCAATCATGTCTGACTCTTTTGTGACCCCCCCAGACCATAGTCCACCAGGCTCCTCTGTCCATGGGATTTCCCAGGCAAGAATACTGGATTGGGTTGCCACTTCCTTCTCCAGGGATCTTCCTGACCCAGAGATCGAACCTACGTCTCTTGAACTGGTGGGTGGTTTCTTTACCACTGAGCCACCAGGGAAGCCCTGTTCATTCTTCTACCATGTGATGATTCTGCTTGCTTTTGGAATCATGGCCTTTTAGAGATGCACACTTATAGATATTACAGAACTAAGCCCTCATTTAACAGGTGAGGGAAATGATGTAGAAAGGGCTTACAGTTAAGTATTAGAAGATCTAAAACTAGAATCCCATTGTTTTTCTTTTCTGTGTAGGGCTCTTCTTATCAGATATTATTTCTAGCAATAATATTTGATTTCTATCACCATCATCAAACATTGCAGGTGCGAATGCTCTCAGCTTTGGACTATGGCTAATAATTCATTTTTATTTTGTGACCTCCAGTCAACTCAGCTCTGTAAATACTAATGAAGAAGATGGATAAAAATAAGATAAAATACTATCTCTGCTCATAGGATAAGTTCAGTCTATAGAGGAACATGGTGATGTCAGTGAGAAAAGTGGGAAGATTGGAATTTATGTACTAGACTTTATTATTTAAAAAATTTTACCCAGATTATCACAGATCACCCAGTTGGCACATGTTTACTCCATTAGAAATCTGATGATAGTCTAGAACTGAAGTCTATACTGTACTGAAGTATGGGACTTGATATTATTTACTCTGGCTCTCAAAGGTTGCTAGGAATGCAATGGGTGCTTTCTGTAAGCTGGTTCTGCTGTACAATATATGTATATTTTATTGCTTTCCTCTAGTTCTTTAATGCAAACCTGCTATTCATTCTGATCAAACATTCATGAAACAACAACATCAAAAGAAATTCATTTTAATTTGCTAAGGTCTTCTATGTGGTGCCCTTGAAGAAGTTCATATGGATAAACAAGCTTATATAAATAGCCTCCAGCATCATGTGAAGTGCAGTTCATAATCCAACAATAAAACAGTAGACATTATACTTCGTGCTTCTCCAAGCAGTCTCTTGAATAAACCTAAAGGCATTTGGAAATTTATATGAAAAGTGCTTACACGATGTAGGCAGCATCTTTTTAATGTGATGAGTTGTTCATGTTAATAATTAAATTTCAAAGCTTAAATTTAAATTTGTCCCAAACAACTATATAGAAATTTAATTATTTTAATTTACTGCTTCAGAAAGGTTCTTTATTCTGCCCTGTATTCATCATATCTTTTCTTAAAAGTCTATAAAGGTTGATGAGTTTGTTTTGTGATGCCCATTGTGTACAGATTATTGCAAGTTATGCTTGCAGAAAGCACACTCAGGTGGTAGTGTGTAATATGTCCTGAGTCAATTACTTCATGGAAATGATATGTTAAGCAATTGGAAGGTAACAGATAGTTTTTTTCCATTATTTTAGAAATATCTCTATTGTTATAATACAGATCAAATCTACAATGAACATTATGCATTATTCAAGAAATGACCAGGCATTCTCAGCAGTGTTTCAGCTAAATAACTGATGATTGTAACCTTTAAAGAAATCTCATTGTGGTGACTGTTGGTAAATCACTTCTCCATTCATAGTAATCTCTGTTTAGAGGCTATCTGGAAGCCATTATATCTTTTATTAATCTTAAAAGCAATGGCTGCTGATTTGACATTTGCTAAAACTAGATAAATTTTCTGTCTTTCTAATACCACAGACTTCAGTCAGTTTTTGGAGTATATCTGTGTCTGCTGCAACTCTATTAATCCAGGAGTATTTACCACTATAAGCCTAAGTTTTCTTTCACTTTAAACATTGCAGCTTTTAAACAACAATTTTCCTATATGTGTGACAGGCCGCAATCTTACAGTATGTAAAATACAAGACATATTTAGCTTTTGGAAGGGAACAATTGAAAACTATGCAAGACAACTTGTGATTAAAATTGACTGAACATATTAAGGAAGAATTTGAATATTTTCATGGAATTTCCTTACATTATTTCAAGTATCTATGTGGTTTAATGTAGATATTTCTGAGAGGAGAAACTTTCAGGTCTTTATTTAAGCAACATAGAATCTATTCTTAGCCAAAGACCATACTGTTACTTAAGCAATGATGTCTAATGGATTCATTTACGTTATTCATGTAGGGTAAATGAGTATAGGACATCCTTTAGAATAACACTGAATTACTACTATAATGATTGTCTCTGAGATATAAATAGTATTTTATAAAATGGTTCTAGTTCCATAGAAGGTAGAGATTCCAGGACAGGCTGAGTGATAGACCTTCTTGGTTTAAGCAGCTCAAAGGTCTTGATTTCCCTTCTGGCATTTTACTGTGTGCTGACATTATGTTACCTCTCCCAAGTGACATTCATGTTTAGGGGCAAGTGTCATATTACTTGTTATTAAAAAGTCATGTAAAATGAAAATTCTTAGAAGCAGTACATGGCATGTATATCAACCTGTGGTAGTCTTTATTTTCAAACAGCTACATGCCTAATGGTGACTTCCTAGGTTCTGAAAAAGAGCTTCCTATCGCTCTTCCCTGGTAGCTCAGCTGGTAAAGAATCTACCTGCAATGCAGAAGACATCGGTTTGATTCCTTGGTCAGGAAGATGCCCTGGAGAAGGGATAGTCCACCCACTCCAGTATTCTTGGGTTTCCCTGGTGACTCAGGTGGTATAGCATCCACCTGCTCTGTGGGAGATCCAGGTTCGAACTCTGGGTTGGGAATATTCCCTGGAGGAGGGCACAGCAACCCACTCTGTATTCTTGCCTGGAGAATCCCCATGGACAGAATAGCCTGGTGGACTACAGTCCATGGGGTCGCAAAAAGTCAGATGCGACTGATCGACTAAGCACAGCATAGTCCTAGGAGAATGGGAGAGAAGATGGAAGCTTGTTTGGTTCCTATTCTTAACTCCATTATCTTCAGTAGACTGAGAGCCTGACTCTCTAGTCTAGACTCTAGTTTTATTTGCGTCATCCCAAAGTCAGTGGTGGCACCACATGGA